TAATTTATCTCTTTCTGCACGCTAGGTGAACGAGACGTTGAGAGATCGTTTTTCTTTTCTTTCTATCGGGTTTGTTTTTCTTTACTCTAAGAGATCAAATTATTGGTGGGGACAATTCAATAATCGCTGAATATTGGTGGGGACATGTCCCTTCCGTCCATGCCAAATCTACGCCCTTGTACTGAAGCCCTGAAGTTCGTTTCTTTAATTAGGATGTTATTTAACATGGGCCGCCTCCTCTCTGTCTAAGTATAATGTATTCTTACTTTATTGGTATATTTTTTCTATTATTTTTGTTTTATGTTTAACTTTTGTGAGAATGTACTTTTTTCATATGTGACAGTAATTTGTTTACTTCATATCATTGCCACTTGTCAAGTGTGGTTTCTGATTGGTCTAGAGTATGACACTGCAGGCAGACTGATTAGTTGTAAAAAAAAAATTCATTTTGGAAAGTATGATGGACTTTAGACTATAAATATGCCGAGAAATGTTTATTGTAAGATTAAAAAAAAAAAAGCGTTGTCGTGGCTACAAGAAAATCACGTGTTCCCTAAAGGTAGGGAGGCTGAGCGCACCTAAGTGTTCGCGGAAGTAACGCATTGTGTTACTGTGGAATTTTAGCCACTCGATTACATGTGGATTAAAGGTTTGTTCTTGCTTTGATGACAGCTTTAATTTGACTTCACAGCATGATTTGAAACTCCGTGTCACTAATTTTACTGTCGATGTTTACCTCATGATTTCTGGATGTTGTAAATGTCTACGTCATACGTCACACGGGGTGAGCTGTTGTTTCTTCAGGTGTTTCTTTGAAAAACAGTAAAGTGAAAGGAAATGACCGAAAACTTTGAGCATTTTTACCTTTTTACCTTTGAGTTTTAACTCTCGGACTCGGTAGATTTAATTTAATCTCGAATCTTTTTTTCAGTTTCTGTTGTTCGGACAGCTGACATGTCTGATGCAACGTCTTCATTATGTCTCCGGTTGATTTTACTGTTGGCCGTTTTCACCCCAACTTCCTTCGGTGGTGAGTTAAACTATTTTCTGATATAGAAAATGACTTTGGACCAACTTCAGTTATTTAAACGTTAGCTCATTTTTTACGAAAGGCCTCACTGATAGCTGATAGATGATAATTGAGGAATAAACACACAGCAGCCTTCCAATATTTTTCTACACTTTAACTCTGAAACTATTGACAGCCACACACAACACACACAATCCCTCCAAAACTGTCTGTAATGCACAATACTATGTAAAGATTCCCTCATCAAAGTTGAGAGTATATTTTTATATATGTAAATATGTGTAAACATATAT